TATATATACATGTGCGTGTTTGTGTTTGTGTTTGTGTCTAGATAAATGTAATAATCTATGCCTAAATGTTTTACATGTGTTTCTCTATGTGTACACTTCAATTCGTACTGGTATGTAGTTACGTTTGTTCTTTGAATTGCACAAGCATATTATTTAGTTGAGTGTGTTGTGTAATGTATGTGCTTGCTCTTCTATCACTTGACCGTCTAATAAGTAAATCACTTCTTCATTATCATATAAATGTGAGCGTAAATTGGGTTTTCTTGTATATGTACAAACGGATTCATGCAGATCTGAACGACTCCACTAAGTGTAATCTTTATGGGGTTTGTTTTCAAGGTAGTTTAATAACTCGGCTCATAGTTCAAGTTTGTTAACATGTTACGACTAGTCACAAGCTGGTTGTTGTTATAGGGAAAGTCGTACAGTGATAAATTAATACGGGTATCACTAGAAATTCAGTGTCACATCTGTTATTCTGTACCATTTGGGACGACTTCAGCTTACAAATGAACTGACCATTAGCCTACCTTCGCTGTCTTCACTTGTTGCAGAAGTTCGACCTACGCAGAATATCCAAGAGTATTATTATCAGTGTATGTGTGCTGCCGAGTCTGCCATTAGTTATGCGCGTGTGATGCCAACCTGTGACCGCTCGCACCTGCCGCTTGTGTACAACGCACGACATAGTACCCAAGAAATTTATACAAGTCACACATCACTGGTGTTCGTGTGTAGATAGAATTGTATGTGTATATTTGCAGGGGTGCGAGTGTGGGTGGGTGTATATAGTATGTACATATGTGTTTATGTGCGCACAACTAAAGGTGGTGCCATGCTTCTTGATCGAGCCAGCATGTTGAATTTCATTGTAAGCTTCACAATCTCCGTGTGCTATTTGGAAGCCAGTTTGCGGAAAAGATTAGGGCAAACACTTCACGTTTAGTGACTTCAGCCCTGGTTGTTGGGGTAACTAGTCACTCAGTTCGGGAAGATATATATTCCGATGTTTTCTAACTATTTCGCATGTCTTCATTACTACCTCTCAGAAATCGAAGAGGCGGATGCTGTATATATTGCTAGCTACTGCGGTGATGCTATTCTTGGTTGCTGGTGGCACTACGGCTATAGTAGTTGTGAACGACGATGATACAACAGACGCATCACACGCACAGGCTGCCCAGGGAGCCGACACCGCCGATAGTTAGTATGTGGTGTGTACGTTTCACAAGGCGCCACTGGTGCCCGGCGCAATATCCATGTTGTGTATGATATTTGAATACATCAGTTTTCTCCTCACGGACTCCCCTTTATTTTATGGTTTGCAACTGTTTTGAATTATATAGGGAAATTCGGGGGCTGATGCAACTTTCCAGTGCAGGGCCGCATATATGGTTTTCATCGTGCAAAAGGAAAAATGCATGCATACGTTCAGATACTGTTGTTTTCGCAAAGACTGATGCTGTTCGGTAAAACGTTTGTTTTAATATACATAGTACAAACCATGTACAATAAATGCGCTGTCCGACATGACATTCGAGCCTCACATTCTCTGCGTCTATGAACCTCTTTCACAATTCAACAAATATAGGAGACTTTTTAAGACATATGTTTTCGAAGTATTCTGTTGTGACCTATTTCTACCAGCATGCACACTTGCTACCTGTAGGTCATTCGAAATGCACTATACCTACAAGCAGTTTAACTACTCTCTCCAAATATCTGGGTGTGTGTTCTGTCTTTCGAATTCTTCTAGTCCCAATCCGCATGGCTGAAACGGAACTATGCGGTTGTTACCTACAGCGCCGCTGCGGCCAATGTCAATCACAACCCCAACAAAGTGAACGCAGTCATGGATGAGCAACAGGCGAACAATGATGTTGAGGGCGATGACGAAGACCAAGCGGACGTAGCTGACGAAGAAAACGATGACGACGCAGACGCACAGGAAGACAATGATGGAAAGCAAAACGAACCAGATGAACCAGAGGATGTGGACAACGGGCCTGATTTGGAGGCGCTAATTGCCGCACATCTGGAGTCGGATGGCATGGCATCGAATGGCGTGAAGGCGGTCTCTGACTTTATCCACAAGACGTATAGTGATGTGGACGTCGATTACTTTGAGGGAGATAGGTGGAAAACTAGATTGCAGAAGCCGCAGGATGTGGCATTCAGCTCGCCTGTCAACATATTTTGGAATGTGAAGGTATGTATGATCATGTTTGCTAATTGCTGGGAGTACACAACTGTAGACACGTGGCATGTAGTTATATCTTGTATCTCTGTTTTTGTGTACGTGTGTATGTGTATGTATCAGTTGGTGTTTAGGTTGTGTCTTCATATTTGTGCGTTTGGACATATGTGAGTGTCTCTTTGTATGTGGCTTTGTTTGTTTGTCAGTGAGCGGGAGACATTCTACGTTTTTCTTCCAATTTAATAGTTCTTTTTATGCTTTACTTCGGTAAGACCTGCGTGAGATTTTATAGGCGTCAGTGATAGTCAATTGATGACATTTTCCACGAGTATTCCATCACCTTCAAATTTTTGTCCTAATATGGTTATACCTTATTATTTGCAGACAAACATGGGCGCTTTGAAGTTCCAGCTCCGACCGGACTACGCTAGATATCACTGTGCCAATACAGTCTACCTGTCGCTTTTGGGTTTCTACGACAACACGATCTGGCACCGCATTATTCCTCAATTTATGGTAAGTCATCCTAACAGTTTTCGGTACGTGTTCCTGTGTTTCGTGGTTCCTGCTTCGCTTCCTTACGATTTGCACCATTATTTATACAATATTTTCCTGTCTCTGTTTTTGTACGTATACATACCAGACACTGTAGAATTCATCTCCCCCTATGACTTCATCCAATACCCGACAGCCGGTGCAAAAAAAAATACATAATTCCCAATACTTCGGCCTCCTTAATCAGAGGTCCCCATATCGTTTTCCTGTAATTGTGCGTTTCAACGTGCTGCACTCAGCTGGTGTCCGAATGAGATGTGTACGTTGTTTTTATGACCATTACACAACGAAATTCTCTATTCAGAATGTGTTTCTAGAGATACTTTCAATTTGTCTCTATTGTCTTCCTCTAATGTTCAATTGATGTTCGGTTCACGCAGGGTCAATTTGGAGACCCCACTGGTACCGGCGGAGGCTCTCCAGGTAAGCATTAATGTACTAAATACTGCACAGAAGATCACATTCAATTATGTTGTGTTTTCGGTGATCAATTAGTACAACCAGTTTCTGCGATAGACAGACTACAATAGAGTTGGCCTTAGAAATATGTAACAGTCAGTCTCTATGTGCTGGAATATATATATATATATATATATATATATATATATACATTTACACTTACATTTACATATATACATATATACATATATCTATATATATATATATATATATATATATATATATATATATTTATTCATTTATTTAACATATATATATATATATATATATATATATATATGTATGTATGTATGTAGTCTATTTGTATGTACGTACGTATGTATGAATATATATATATATATATATATGTGTGTGTGTGTATATGTATATGATATGATG